TAAACTTTAGACACAAAAATAAGTTCTCTAGGCCATTCACATGCACATTAAAACCAAAAAGCTGCAAACTACAACAATGCATATAATTATACAAACGATGCCACTCTCTGATGTTTACAGAATTGCTGTCCATGCAAGGTGATCAGAGGCATTATCTATGAAGCCTTAAGATCCTGAAGTGTTGTTACTATCAAACCTCTGATTAATACTGTGAAGTAAGTGTTTTGAAAGGCAGTTCCACGAGTTGGCTAACATTTCTTTAAAGCAAACGACTGCTTCTAAGCTTAGCCTTACAAGAGATTTTGGTTGAACTGAAAATATAAGTATTTCATTACTGTGTGCAGCTCTGCGATGGACAAGAAAGTTATTGGCGCACCCACCAAACACAATTACTTCTCTTTTGTCACTGGCACAAGCTGTATGCCATAATTTTGGTTTTTCAGTATAGGGATGATTAAACTGTATCCATTCATTTTTACTGATGCAGTAAGTCCAGGCATCACTCAGTGGCTGTTTATCAGTGGTAAATCCTCCAAAGAGAAAGAGATGATCTGAAGAAACTGGTGTTAGTGAGTACCAAGATTGGCCAACTGGGGATATGCCTTGTGCAATTAATTCGTTCCACTCCCATTGGTCCAGATTAAGATAGTGAAAATCATTCATTCTAGCATCAGTAGTGATAGGCTGACTCCAGATAAATGTTTCAGTGTCTAAAATATGTACATGATCATTCCATCCTTTTGGGTGGCTTGAATTCCAAAAAGATGTTTCATCAAATTCAAAAGTTCCCAATACTTTATCTTCAGGTAAATATCCATAACCTCCAAAAAATATTAACTTGTTTTTATATACCCAGACACCAAGTTTGTCCTTTGATGATGGAGGAATTCCTTGGCAATCAATCCTTTCCCACTGTAATACTCTGTCAGTAGACCTTGAATCCAGCATGTAGAACTTATTGGTATTGCCTCTTGAATGGTGTCCTCCGAACAAGTACAGCACCCTGTCTACACACACAGCACAGCTTCCTGACATGGAAGGAGGAACATCTCCTTCCATGTTAACTTTTTTCCGTCTTCCAGGCTCCATATTGTAGATCCATAGTTCTTCTCTAGGCAGATAAAAGTCATATAATCCTCTGATTTGATTACTCTTGTAGCCACCCCAGAGGAACATGTGGCGCCTGATGCCCACGGCTACGTGGCCATTGCTCTCATGGGGCAGGCGAGCTCCATGTAGCTTGTAGGCTGGTGCCAGCAAGTCGTCCGCCCGCAGATCCTCGTTGCCATCAGCCATCTTGAGGCTGCATTTTTGTTCACCAACAATCCTCGCACCCGAAAGGGGGGGAAGAGACAAAGGAAAAGGAAGAAATGCACAGCGGTGAGAGGTGAGCAGAAGGCGGCGGCTTGATTTGCGAATGTTGAACCACCCTTGCATCCCGGGGATAAATTGCACTTGGTCGTGGTGGATGATCCTTTTAATGTATTGTTGGATCCTATTAGCTAGGATTTTGTTGA